TACAAGACAGTTTGGCAGCCAGCCGTACGTAGTGTTGTGTATCTGACTGCCTGCGTGTAGGTTATGCTGGGTGTACTGCTGTATGTAGAGGATTTTTTCGGAGGGTTGTTGGGTGTCGGTATGTTGCTGTACTCCTTACACATTTGTTTTGACACGTATGCCTATGTACATACACAGAACGTGTCATGCATCTGACGGCAAGAGACTTTACTCCCTGCTGTTTCCGCGTGTTGATCCCTGGCTGGCGGCGCGTGTTTGTGACGTCGCGGTTTTGGCATTAGGGCGTACGCGAGCTTCAGCCGGCGAACGTTGGCAGGTATAGTCTACACAAACAATTGGCGCGCAGGCACAGGCGTGTCGGTGGGGGAAGAGTACCTCCATTTCGTACTGGATTCTGGGGGGAATGGACTACGCACACGGTATGCCACTGCGTGAAATTTCTCCATTAGACCGAATCTTCCCAATTCGAGGGGTTGAGACAGAGCAGAGAGTACACACCACACGAGCACGCATTAAACCTTGCTGACTGCACCAGCCGGCGCGCTCAGAGCGAAGAGTATACTTTGCCTGGCCGTACTAGCCTTCGTTACACAGAGCTCCAAGCCATAAAACGCTATTCTGAAGCAGGAACGAGCACGGAATGTAGATGGACAATATCGCGGGTAAATACGGGTCAAAAAGTTGTCCGACTTGCATTCAAACAAGCCTATGAAAAGGGAACGGTTAGACTCCCACCCTAAATAGGTGCTTACAACTGTGGCTGCAATACTCAACGTCTCGAGATAATAAGGTGTTCCGAGCCACTCCACGCCCATAGGCAATAGCTCGCTGTCGGGCTATGGCGTGACCTGTGCCTCGCAGGAGCTGGTGTAGGGTCTCTCTGTCGAAATCAAGTCGGTTATCTCCTCAAAAAAATCATACCAACGAAAGAAGCGAGAAGGGAAGGCAGTACAATCGATTTCTTACCTCTTGGGTCAAGAATCAAGGTAAATGCTTCCAGGCTGCCACCTGTGTTCACTCTCTGTCCGTGACACCATCGGGTTTCTCGGTCACTTCGCTTAATCCCGAATTTAGCTCGCTTGTGAAACGAGCGAACCCAACATCATTGACGCATTGCAAACTCAGCGTTCCTGGTGTTCATCCAAAAATCACCAGGAATTCCTGATGGTCGAGTTCCTTCCATTCCCGATGAAGTCATGAAAAAGACTTTTGCCGCTTTTCACGTTTTCATCGGGAAGGATCTTCACGACTGCGGTGCCCGCTCTCGCCGCTCTCTCAACTGGAGCACCAACAACAAACATCCGCCCTCTGCGACACACAGATGATGTTGTGGTTCCGAAATAGTGGCACCCTGAATAGGGAAATGCCCTGAGTAGACTAGTGGCATCAAAAATCTCTTCATATAATTTCAACCAATTATAGTGGCATTGTACCACTATTGAGGACGGGGTCCTCAATAGCGGCATTTGGGGCATCTCATCCCCCCAAAAGTGGCAATTCAAGCCGCCGGAGCCCCCCTGTATTTCACCGCACGCACCACCCACACACACGACACACACAGCAGCGGGCGCCACGCCACACGTAATCATGCCGGCATGCGCGGATCTAAAACTATGTCAACTCCAAAACCGACCGCTTGGGGAGAAGGACGGGTTCGTTAGTCGCGCTGGCTTTCTGAAAATGAGCTAGAACTAGACAAAAACGAAGATTCTGAGAGTGAGGGGGGTGGAGGGATGAAGGCACCGCCGTCGTTCGCGGAACTGTCTGGGATTTTTAGTCCTCTAGAACAACAGTACGCGGAGTCGTGTGGCATTGGCGAGGCTGGGCATTTCCTCCGTAAGGCAAAGATGGCATTCTTCGCAACACATGCCGCAAACCGGCACGGCAGTTGAGCTTCGGAGCGTTTTCCTAGTCAGAGTTAAGTGGCATTGGTCGGTTGAGGCCTACGAGTGCAAAGCATCGTGGCTGTTGAAGATCCAAGGAACAACTTTTCAATACAGTAGACCCCGCTGTAAAGACACACCACGTTTTCCCCCAAAAAAGTGTCTTTAATGCGGAGAAGTGTCTTCAAAATTCCGGGGCCACTGACGCACCATCCCCGGGGCCAATGAAGGCGAAACATAGGTGCGCATTCGCAGCAGAAAGGCGACCACAAAAGGTGTTGCTTGAAACCTATGACACAAGGTGATTTGAAGGTCGCAACCACTGCTGCTATTGTGCTGCAATACATACTGTACGATAAAGTTACACCATTAGACTACTAAGTCAGTCAGCGAGTAGTCTAACGGTGTAACTTTATCTTACAAAAGATATGCTCAGAGCTCATTTGCACCCGGCTGGATGACATTATCGGGTTCGTGAGTAGAGATCTCCGGGGACAGACCCCTCGCCAGACGCTGCCTGAGAAGAACTGAATGGTGCTTGGGAAAGTGACCGGTCGAGTTTTGAACCGTGCGTCACTTATCGCCAAATGTTGAACCATCAGACTAGTCAGCACTGACTTGACTACTAATGGTGTAACCTTATCTTACACATCTTGCATACCATCATTTGAATTTCTCCGTACTGTACCACCAAAATGCTGAACACGATGGTGTTCTACGACCTACGCATCGTACATGTACACGACGGTAGTGCGCTGGTGTTGATGATGAGCTTAATTATTTGCTTCATTTTATTTTTTAGGCGTTGTCCTCCCCGTGAATATCTTGCCCAAGATCTCGCATCCGCACCTGAGAAATAACGAAGGTTGTCAAACGACACTAGAAAAATGTAGGTTACGCAGAAACACAGAGACCAAAAATGTCGGGAAAGCACAGCGACAAAGAGGACACCGCGCCTCTCAAAAGGTCAAGACGAGGCAAGACACAACACAAACGCCAAATTCAACCTCACGAGACTTCACCAAAGGCAAACAACGAACGTTGGCAATATAAAAAGTGCTTTGCTCTCGAAACCAAAAACAACACCCGCCACATATCCCGAAGAGTCGCCTGCACCTCCCCCCCCTCCTTTGCTCTTCGCTTGACCTGAGTTTCATGAGTAAACGAATGCGCACAGTCTTCGAAAGAAGGTCCGCCGTTTCGCTGTACTCGCCGTCTCTTCCATGTGTGTACAAGTAAGAGCGGACATTTTCTGGGGGGGGTCGAAGGGTGGAAAACCCTACCCCCCCTACTTTTTCACATCTGCGGAGCACCATGTTTCTGAGATTTTTGTGTCCTTAAAGCGGGGAGTGCCTTTAAAAATGGTGTCGTTAAAGCGGGGACGACTGTACCTACATATTTTTGCTCGTTTTTCTTTCGTTTTATCATTGTTAGTTTTATGCATAATTTTCGATGTGTTAAAACATCATCATCATCGTGTGAGAGCGCGCAGCCAGGTCTGCTACTACACTGCTGTTGTTGTGCTTTCATATCCGGGGGGGAGTCGCACCACGACGGGTGTGTTTCTACACGTTTCTACTTACGTGCGAGACTTGCTGCGTTTCCAGCAGCAAGACTCCCATCTGCCAGGCGACAAAGCCATGCGTCAGCAACAACGATTGGGCATATCAGACACCAGGTATACGTTTTGGGCACCCCAACCTTACAAACACATTGCGGCCCACCTAAACACCCACACCGTGTCGACAGAAACGTCGTCCTGCCAGGGTCGGTGAAGCTGCTGTCCTGCTCAAGTAGTCTTCCCTTGAGTGCCAGGTACCGCCGGCTCTCGAGGAACATCCTCCACACTCTGTCTCCCTTGTGCATGGGCTGTCTCCGAGGGTGAGAGGGTGCGTCTCTCTTCTTAGACTCCCTGGACATGTCCCTGGCTCCTGTAGGCAAAAAAAGAAGAAGCAATCTCTGAGAATCTCCATCACACATGTGCCATCCGGACAAACAACCGGGTGTACTGCAGTTCACCACACCGAGCATCAGTGCAACAGAGTACCGGTAGACCTCAGCAACATAAAACACAACTACCAAGTACACTCCGAGACTACGGCAACAGCAACTCAACGCAGCAACTTGCCTGAATTTCCTGTTGCACAGGAAACGTTGTCGGAGTGCCAAAAAGCCTTGGCGATAGGCATTACCTCGGAATTCGTCACGTCACTCCGTGTCTTGCGCTCGTTATACACGTAGCACCGCACTCACAGCGTCCCTGGGGGCGATGTCGTAGTTCGTGTTGCGCATCTGCACACGTGCGTCGCTGAAAGTCTCGTACCGAACACCGAAACTCTTGGCTCGCTCGGCAAAGCTCACTCTACCAGGCTCAGCGGGCTTGCACCGGTTGCCAGGGTGGCACAGGTTGGGGTCAGGACACGTGTGCTCCCCCGCTCCCGCTGCTGTGGCGAGGGCTGTCGTGTACGCGGTCCACCCTATCGAGCTGTTGCTGTGCCGCTTCAGCGCTTGGAGCAAGGCACGGGGCGCGCGAGTGTTCGCCGCGTTGACCGCCGCCTCCTTAGCTGCTGCCTGGTCTGCAGCGCTCGCCCCCAGCATGACCCGTACTCGCTCCATCAACACGTGGTCCTTCTGGATCAACTCCAGCGCGCTAGAGCGACGCTCCTCCGAAGCCTGCGTACATGTATCAGGAGTTGTTGGAGTCGGGGGAGGGTGTGTGTTATGTTCAGCAGGAGTATGGGTGGGCCAACAACAAATGCCACACGTAGAAGCCTGCAATTAGTACAACAGTGATCCCATGCAACTTTTCATGCGCTTTCTAGGCTAACATCACGAAGTCGTGGAATGGAGATCAATCTCGGGAGCACGAGCAACAGAGGGCCGTGCGTACCAAAATTCAAATACTGTATAAATTTAGCGAGGCACGAATTGGCGCCAAGAAGTACAATTGTAGTCCAAGCATTTCAACAGCACTTCAGCAACCCAAAACCTCACCTGTTCCTCGCGCGAAGCCTCTGGGGTAGCCCCGCTTCTCGTCCCGCCATCGTGAGCCAATGCTAGAGGGTCGGAGAGAGCTACGTCCGCCCCCTTGCGCTTCCCCTTCCCCGAAGCAGCAGCAGCAGCAGCAGCGGCAGCCTGTTGGTTGCCGCGCTTTGATGCTCGTTCTTGGATGGCTTCAGCATGCTCTCTACCCTTTTCGCGGAGCTGATCTTCATCAACAACTACAGAGGACAACTTATTGCCAGCTGCCTTGGTGGTACACTTCTTCAACAGCCAGGAGGTTAGCAGTATCCCGCGGTATGCTTCTTCCGGTGCTGCCTTACTACCCCCTTTTCCCCGCGGACGTGGATTATGCGGTCTACAAGCATGAGACTGCAACGAGCCACGGCCAGGCCCGAGTCAACACGGCCGTGGATGTTGGAGTTTAGGGCTGAGGACCTCGAGAGTGGTGTCCTCTGTATGTAATTCGACCAAGCGGAGTCGATTGCCGTGGAGAACAAGGCATGAGTCGTCGATGTTCATGGTGAAACAGGATGCGCCGCATCGCTTATCTTGAAAGATGNAACACGGCCGTAGATGTTGGAGTTTAGGGCTGAGGACCTCGAGAGTGGTGTCCTCTGTATGTAATTCGACCAAGCGGAGTCGATTGCCGTGGAGAACAAGGCATGAGTCGTCGATGTTCATGGTGAAACAGGATGCGCCGCATCGCTTATCTTGAAAGATGTGTCGACGAACTATTTTTTTTTTTNGGTGAAACAGGATGCGCCGCATCGCTTATCTTGAAAAATGTGTCGAAGAATTTTTTTTTTTTTCGGTTGGCCTCGCCGAAACGGTTCTAGAACCGGTCTCCTTTTTCCCTACCGACAGAAACTCCAATATCTACAGCGTTCTCCCCCATTCGCCGGAAGGCCCCCTTGGTGAGGTCGACGAAGCACGCGACACCGCAGTACTCTTCTTCCTCGCGAGCTCATGGAGCCGCTGGATGGTGAACAGCATGTCGAGCGTAGACCGGTGTGGGCGGAAACCGCTCTGCTCCTCCGGGAGGATGCCCTCTCGCTCGCAGTAGTGGCTTAGGCGTGTAGCGACGACAGCGACAGCACCTTGCCGGCGTGTGCGACGAGGGAGATGCCCCGGTAGTTGCGACACTCCATCGTGTCCCCCTTCTTGAACAGCACTTTGTGTATCTGGCCAGAGACAGCTATTACTGGTGTGCTCTGACGTACAGGGGGGATTGGGCAATGGCGGGAGAGTTTCTACGGATGTGAGATGCGTTGCTGTTTGTTGTGCTTCAATTCAGCTGCTGCTGGGTGTGAGCAGTGTGAGTGTATGCACAATGTATCAGCAGTGCGCAGCTTGTTAGCTGCTGAATTTCCGAGCCGCGCGTCCGGACATTGTCATTTTTCTGGCGATGGGATGCAGAAGCGGAATTTGCAATCCTTTCGGATAGTTGGCTCTATCCCGATGAAATCACGAGGACGTTGTTGTTGTTGTTGTTTCTCACATTAGCTCTAGACTATGGTCCACAAAAAAAATGGGGAGCCCGTGGTCTCAAAACCCGGCGCATACGACGTGTAAACAGCCGAATATACCCCCAACACGAGGAACGCGGAGTTTGCAATTCGTCACATGAGAAGGGCTTTTGCTTCACCGTGCTTACTCAATCTCCCGATGAAACTTCCCGCAGTTTCTTGCCTACCTTGCCACTGTACGATTCAATCCCGCACCACAATCCCCAGATTTCCTTCGTTCAATCTTACACTTTTCGTTTTCTAACGGAATATCAAGCACCAATGGACAGGATCTTCCTTGCAGTACGTCAAACAGCCGCAAAAGGCACCACAGCACGTCAGCTGCTGCAGCACTCGCAAACATAGTTAGCTCGCGTATGTAGCGACGCGTGCTTGATGAACTCACAGATCCATGCTACACGGTGTGAGAAACAATTGTCACAACGGTTGCTCGTGTCTAGCCTAAAAGGTGAGTGAAAAGTTTGCCGTCGCTTTGGTTCATCGCCAATTCGAAGAAAGGAGATTTCATCCTTGTTTTTCTATGTGGAACAACTCTCCGCATTTCTTGAGTGAGAGCAAACGGCAGTGTCCTCTGGCCCGATAGGGCACAAATGATGGGAGAACCTTGAAGGCTGCCACCCTTACTGATGGTTGAACTCAGCCTGGGTGAGCTTACTCTCCCTCACGCTAGACACATGCGGGATTTTATCAATGAAAACCACAAGGTTGCCACCGAGCAAACCGAGAAAGGACCAACAACTTGTTCGAGAAAAAAAAAAAAAATCGCAAATATATACGGTTGAACACAGCACATGGTCTCTCATGTTCTCTCTCGTGCTGGCCTGCAGTTGTATGCAGATGCAGAGGAAACGTAGCAATAAGTTGAACAGAAATCGAATCTGTAGGTCACCGACCGAAAACACTATTACAGGTCAAAGTCCCGAAGGTTTTACCTTCATCCTATAAGCTGACTAGTCTAATGGTGTAACTTTATCGATAAAAAATATGCTCAGTGTCAGCGATATTTCGCTGTGCACTAGCAGCATTACGATGCTGCAGATGCCAGGAGGCTGTGTAGCCTACCTCAGAGGTTCACACTCTGTGCGTCTCCAACCGCGAGAGACTTGGAATGGAAATATGAATATGCTTTTATTAGTTGCTGACTCCCGAGTCAGATTGATGTTGCTGGTACTGAAGAGGAGTGAGAGGGGTGGCGAGCTTAGGACTGCACCACTCTCCTCAAATACCGGACAAATAAGCCAATCACACGAAAGATCCAGATTTCTGGAAGCCCTCCTACGTTCTAGAAGAGTATCAACTGCAACCTAGATCTAGAACGCTTCCAGAAGCTTCCAGAAGGAACCAGAAGTTTCGAGAAGGCTTCCAGAAGCTACACACGTTCTACGTAGATGTCCCGGTCAACCTTGACCTAGCATGCTTCCGGAATATTTCTAGAACAAGAGAATACATGCCACGGAGAGATGGATTCTTTTCTACTGCTACGCAGACTAGTTGCTGCAATCGTATTCAAAGGTCAAACCGTGTCCGACTACTGGTGGTCTCGACGCACGATTTTCCTGACACGACCCCTCGATCAAGCAACTAATTCACAACGGTCGACGGCATCACCATATCCTTGTCTACCTCGACTCCTCCGTTGGCATCGTATCGAAAATAAATTCCTTCTGGTATGGCGGGTATGGAAGGAAGCTTCACAGATCTTCGATCAACACAAGAAGTCCTTGATCTGCTGAATGATGGAGGCGAATCGGTGCTTTGGGAGGTACTTGGTCGCGATATCAGCCAACTGGTGCTCGCTGGGCCGGTGGTGAAGAGTGATTTGTCCCCGTAGTACTAGCTCCCGGATGAAAAAGTACCTCAGGGCCACGTGCTTCGTGCGTTGAGAGTGCATGGCATTCCCGACCACTGTCAGCGTCCGATGATGTCGCTGTTGATGGGAACCGATCCGAAGGTCTTGAAATTGAGTTCCGTCATAAAATTTGAGATGTAGACCGCCTCTCTGGCTGAGTAGCTAAGCGCTTGAATCTCGGCTTCGACCGTGCTTTGCGCGGTTAGAGTTTGAGTCTTCGCACCGTAGCTGATGAGTCCTCTAGCCAGGAAGAAAAGGTATCCCGTGGTAGATCTTCCGTTGTCGGGGTTTGCTCCGAAGGATGAATCCGTAAACGCCGCTAGCCGAAACTGTCCTCTCTTGTAGACGATAGGAAGAACTGGATTACCCCGAAGGTATCGCAGAACGTGCTTGGCTGCTGTCATGTTCACCTGCGCTGGGTTGCTGCAGGCCTTGGAAAGTTGTAGGGCAGCGTAGGAGAGGTCGAATCGCGTGCACTGGGCCAGGTAGAGGATGCTTCCTGTCATCGACTGGTAGATTTTCTTGTCCGTGGGTCCTAGGATTTGGTCCTGAGGTTGGTTCGTGGAGATTTCCGCTCCGTATCCAGGAGTGCTCACTGGGTTGGCCTCTTGCATCCCGAACCGCTCCAGAAGTGTGTTCACGTAGTGCTCCTGTGAAATGACCAGGGTTCCTTGCTTGTAGTCCCGCTGCACGTCGATCCCGAGGATCCGCTTTACCTCTCCTATGTCGGTCATCTCGAATCGATCCGTGAGCTCCTTCTTCTTCTGGTCCACGAGCTGCTGGTCTCCTCC